TAATTTTATATTAAATTATATACATACATTTATTATTCTTTATTGATGTAACCCTTTAAGTTTGTATATTTGATTTAAATGCCAGAAATTTTTAAGATAGATGTTATATGTAAATATAGTTATGTATATGTGTTTGTAATAATATTTTTCGATTTAATTCCAATTCAATTACAAAAATTTATAATTGAATTGTGAATACTAATTAAATTTTGAAAAAATTTCATTTTAAAAATTTAAATTATTTTTTAGATTACAAAATAATAGACACTCCCAGAATTTATACTTTTAGATTCCGATTGCAGCTTTTATTAAACCGAGAAATTAGAGTGTTTAAATTTTTTAAATTAAACTTTATGCCTTTCAAATTTGCTTTAATATTTTAATAATTAAATATTATAATAATTAAATTAATATTTTTAACTACAAAAAAATTTAAACAATTTTAAAAATACCATATCATTTCTCTTTTATAAATATGTTGTTAGCATGAGTTTCAATTATTTTATTTGGTATTCAAATTATAAAAAGTATTTTTATTAAATTTTTAAATTTTAACGATAAAATAATTTAATGATTGGGAAAAATGAAAATTTTCAAAGCAAAATTAAAATTAATTTAAATTTTACGAATAATACTTATATTTTAGATTTATAATTCGAAATGATCACATCCTTCGTAAAACTTACAATTTGATGAATTAATTTCTTGATATATTTATTTTGATTTTAAGTTTTTCTGGAATAATTAAACATTGAAAACTTCGCCTTTCTAATATATACTAAGTTTTCGAGATACGATATCTTCTAATACGGCATTTCAAGTTACGACATAAATTTCTGGAACCAAAAATGTCATATCTCGAGGACTTAGTGCAAAACAATGATTTGTGAATTCAAATTAATTTTCACAAAAACATATTTTGAAAAAAATTTTTATAAATTAAATATAAAGAGAATTGGAGAGAAGTGAGAGAGATCAATATAAACAATCAAAGTTAAAAGTAACAATTCTGACACTGATATTATAGTAAGATTAAATACTTCAATAAATTAAAGAAGTTTGGAAAAAAAAATTGGGACACAAGAGGTTAACGTTAGTTTTTTTTTTTGTTTCAAAATAAATTATTAGTTTGAATATAGCAAGTGAATTCATTTGTACTTTTTTCTTGCAAGAAACTTAACATCAATATTTAAAAATGAATATTCTTTAATCTTAAAATTTGTAGTAAATGTAATAATTGTTGAAATTGTACTATTTAATGATAAAATATGACAATTAGAGTAATAGAAAATAAGTAATAAAAATTATTCAGACTTTTATTAAATGCGCGTTCATTTCTTTTCTGCTAGCGCGTTTTATTTTCCAATTCCACGGTGATGTTATTTTTTTTTGCTCGGAAAGTGGAATAAGCAATTTTCTTATATTTTGGCAATAAGCCAAAATATTTTCTCAACGTTTATTAAGTACAACGTTTAATTTTTATATATATACATAGTTATACATGTATATACACGTACATAAAGATATTATGAATTTCTACATACGTATATATTCGCAATTATATGTATATGTACATACATAATATAAATATATATTAAATAGTTGTATTAAATCTCAACAAGAGTACATTTTTATATCGATTTTGGTTTTCTTTTTTTTTTTTTTGAATATTTTTAAATTTCTATTTTTTTTTGGAATATTGAATTTTCGACAACCTTAACGGAGACTGTAAATTATTGCTCTTAAGTCATAGATTTTCTTAATCAAAAAAATAAAAAATAGAAAGAAAATATAAAATTAATATACACAATAACACAAATATACAAGATGTACACCTATTTTCTATCATATAGAAATCTATCTCAAAAAAAAAATTTTTTGATTTGAAAAGTGAAAAATTATGTTTTTGGTTTGTGTGGTTTTTATAGACTACAGTTAAGAGTAAATTTGAAAAAAAAAAAAAAACTTAAAAACAGAAAAATATTTTTAATTTCTTTTAAAATCATTACGATTTCGTTTTTAAAAATAGGATAATGAACAAAATAGAAAAAAAAAAAATAAAATAAAATTAATCGTCAGAATAAGCAGAGTACGTGGTAGAAAATGAAAATTTACAATAACTATAGCTACATACATGCACACATTTATAAAGTAATTTCTAAAGAATGACAATATAAAATCTTCTTTGTAAACACTATGTCAAAAGAGATTATTATTGAATGATAAATTTACGATTTAAAATTGAATCCTTTGTTTATCAATTTTCATTAGATTAAAGTTTTTGACACTAAATTAAATTGACATTACGTCAATATTTTAAAAATTCATAATATCAAATTTATAAAAAATTGTACATTACATTTTTATTACACTCTGTATCTATAATGAAAAGAAATTACAATTTTCGGTATTCGTAAATTGGCGAATAAATTGTCAAATTATTTTTTGATCGCGAAGCAATTCTTTAATTTATATCGGATGATATTTAAGTTTTCAATTTCTAACAAAAATAATTCGAAAATTTGCGAACACCGTCCATGTAGTTTGTACATATGTATGTATATGTATGTAGGTACTTTTTATTTGGTTAATTCGAAATATTTAATTTGTTACAAATTTAATGTTTAATATTGTTTTTCAATATGTGGTCGATATCAGATGGTCTATTTCAGATATGTAAAAAGTATTTCAAGTGCTAATTCTAAAACCTTGTTTAGTTTTCTAGTCTAAAGTAAAAAAATTTCAAATTCAAATTGAGCCTACGTCACATTGGCAAATGTACTAAAGGCGTATAATGTATAAATTTTTTTAGGCAAAATAAAAAAGCACTAGTATTTTCTGGCTTTTGAAATTCAGACTTGCAACGTCACAAATGCATTTTCGATATTTGGAGGAGTTTTAACGTTAGAAAATGAATAAATGTTTAGTTACACATTTCGGGAAATTTCTTTTGAAAATTAAAATCAACATCAATCTTTTTCATTTTTAAATTGCCATAAAATATTTTTATTTTTATAATAATTAAACGAATCCATATTGTAATTAATATGTAAATTACCGCATAATTTTTAAATACAAGTTGTCTTATTATTTATATGTGTATATGTATATGCATATTATGAGAGTATATATATGTATATGCATTTTTATTATAGAATTTCAAATTAATGAAAGGAGATTAAAATAAAGGAAAAAAAAATGTTAGGAAATTCATACATGATTTGATTTTGTAACAATATTCCCTCTTACATAATATTATTTTTTATTAAATAATTTATTAAAAAATAATGTGTATATGTACGGATGTATGTACTATATTATTTTTTAAAAAGATATTGTAGAAAAGATAAGAAATAAAAGTAATGAAAAAAGTGCAATATTTCAAAAAAAAGAATTTGTTTTATCATATTGTAAGGCAATGTAATTCAAGAGATCAGACAAAAACAACGTGATTCTTTTTATTTTTATATAAGTAGTATATTTTGTAATGATATGAGTTTTATGCGGATATTATTTAGAAGTTGAAGCATTTTGTTTCAAAGAAGAATATTTTATTTTAAAGTTGTTTTTCTTTTACGAACTATTTATATTCTATCTAAAATATTTAATATTTTTTATAAATCTATAAATTTCAGATATTAGCAAGAATGCAATAACTTTCATACTTCAACTTGTGTTGTGAAAGAGTTTTAAAATACATAATTTAAGAATATGTAATCAGCCCTGTCATGAATTCTACTTGTAGAATTGTACGAATTACGAACGGATTATGAATTAGCAATGGCAACAGTTAGGAATTTAAAACGTCGTCTTCACTTAAAATTGCTTGTTACGTTACGAGTAATTATTTCTTTCATTAACTTTTGATATTTGTTTTATTACGAATTCCATTACGAATATTCGGAACAGAATTTTAGTAATTCGACATTGATAATATGACATTCACAGTTTTTCGAAATTGACGGTCACCAACAGAATGCATGATAGCGTTGAATTATTGATGATTTCTTTATTTTTAACTGTGTTTTATTACATGTGAAACTTTGCAGCCTAAATGAATTTCTATAACTTTTACATTAAAACTAAATTAAATTTAAACACAATACTTATTGTTAGATTTTAAAAATTTGACATACATAATTAATTTTCTGAATTTTTAAAAAAAATACGAATTTCATATTTAGTTTTCATTTATCATGTTTTTGTAAAATTAATTTTTTGCAACAAATAATTTTTCCTAAATAAAAATTTTACTTTTTTTTTTATTTCACCAAGAGTCTAATTAAAAATATTGATTTTACGATTGCTTTATTTTTATTGTATTATTGGATATTCCATGTTATTATATTTGTTTTAATTAATATAAAATTTCTTGATTTTGAATCATTTGCAAAACGCTATCCCACACTCCAATCAACTTGTATTTTAGAAATTTATACAAATGTATTGATTTTAATATACGTACCATTCCGAATTTTTTAAATGATTAAACGAATTTTTCTAAAGGGTTTGATCCAGGTCATTACCACTGTATATATATGTACTTTGTAAATTAATTTCAAATCAAGGGTTACATATGGAAAGAAATTTCAACCACTGAAATTGATCTTATTGAATTGGATTTAAGAAAAATTCTAAATTTAATCTGTGTATATAATGTCTATCCTATACAATGATAATAAGTACAAGGAAGTCTTATCAAATAATGCGTATATTGTTCGTTCTTGATTATTTAATTTTGAAGATTTTGGGGAAACTAGGTTTTTTGAATTTAAACACTGAAAAATGTTTTACGTCCAAAATTAATTTTGGAAGAAAAAAGAAGAAGTTCTTATTTATTTTTACATTTTTGCGTTTAAATTTTATAAAAATTGAAATTTAAAAAGCTTTTTTTTTTGAAACGCTTTATTTTACATGCCACTTGTATTTTTATAAAAAAGTATTTTTGTACCTTGTATAATATTAAACTAATAAATTTTTATATTTTTTTTTATTTACAGATTTAAAAACGTCAAAAAAAAACAAACAAAATAAATCAAAAAAAAAAAATTTTATTAACAAAAAAAAATAGAATTTTTGTGGTAAAATTACCACAGCACTCAAAATTTTAAATAAAAACATTTTTTTTTTGTTTTTTTTTTGTTTGAATTTGGATTTTGGATTTGGAGACGGTGAATTGTAAAAAAAAATCTGTCAATATTGAAGCCATAAATAATAATCACGAAAATTCTTCTTCATCACCACCAACACCACCGGAACCATCACCATCTCCATCAAATATATTGTCGACATCGACAACAACTTTATTATCAACAACCTTTTTAAATACAATAAGTAAAATGCCTGTAAGAGATGAAATAATTCCACCACCACCAGCTAATTCAAAGCAAATTGGTGTTGCCAAAACATTATTATATAATGGTTCAAAATTTACTGGATTTCAACGTTCAAAAGGGAATTCATATGATGTAGAAGTAGTTTTACAGGTAAATCTATTTATTATTAATATAAAATGAATTTTTATATTTTTAGTTTAAAATTACATTGGTATTAAATGAATTAAATGCTAGGAATAATTGAGAACTTTATGGAAATTTTAGTACCCAATTTGGGACCGAATCATTTATAAATGTCGTTTGCAGGAGAATTGCAAGAATTCTAATCAAAATTTTTAAATTTAAAAATTATAAGCGGTTCTCGGGCTTATTCAAAAAGAAATGAGTTTCGTATTTTAAGCCCTCCTAAATAGAATTTTGTTTTTTTTTTTCTGTTCTATTTCTACTAACTCAATATAGTAAGAAGTATATTAAGAAAGTTAGTTACATTTTAAGGTTTTCTTTTTCACAAAATATTTGATGAAATTTCTATTTATATATAAGTAAATTTCGTCGTATTTTCTAACGTTGTATTCAATTATTTTAAATATTAATTCTAATAGCTGAGCATTGTATACAATATTCTTAGTTTAATTTATTTTTATGTAATACAAGATACTGAAGTTTATATTAAATAACCTTTATATGGAATATGTCGGAATCGTTTAACTTTAAAGGAAATTTCTTCTTTTAAGTAGATTAAGTAAGTATAGAATCATAAAATTTGTCGACAAATTGACTAGTTGTAAAATATTACGTATGATAATTTAAAAGCAGATATTATTATAGATATTTATAAAAAGATTGGTTAACTAGATTCATAAATAAATTTTATAGAATATCAAATATTTATTGAACTAGCATTGTCATCCACTTAAAAGTTATCTAATCAAAACATTATACTAACAAAACACAAAAAGCAAATATTTCGGAAAATTGTAGAAGAAAAATAGTTATATGTATATATACATATTATGCAGGTATATGTAACCTTTACACGACTGTGTACCATAGTAAAAAGTGAAAAGATTTTAAGATACGAGTATCTAATCATTATTACCAATCTCACTGTCATTGGAGAGTATTTACTTCAAAAAAATATGAAATTGCTTCAGAAAATTTGAACTTTTAAAATTGACATTTCGTTATTTTCTAATTATATTAAACAACGCCATTGAAATTTAAAAATATTTTATTGATTTCTTAGAAAGAAGATTTTTAAAATAAAGTCAAACTTTGGCAAAACTTTACTCTTAATATAAATTATTAGTGAAATAAGCTCATTACTTATTAAATTCACAACTATGATATTGTATTAGTAAAATTCATAATATAATTAGTGTAATAGGCACAATCCAATAAATATATATGTTCTTGTTATTGTGTGTTTCAATAGTAGATTGTAAATAGCAATCAATGTAAACAAATACTTAGTAATCATGTGGATTACAGTATAAAGCAATGTAGAGAACATTTCGTCGGCAATTTCTTCATGCCTATGTAGCTCAGTTGGTAGAGCGTCCACCTAGAAAGCGGTAGGTCACTGGTTCGAGTCCAGATCGGGGAGAAAAATTTTTTAATTAATTTTTCTGCCTTTAACTCGTTCCTTTGATTACGTCATCCATCTGTTCTGCAGTTGCATGAAGAAATTTCCATTAAGTCAAATTTTCAGGGTTTGATTCAATTATATTTTGAAAAGTAATTGAATTCGTGGGTCATTTATTCTACATTATAGCGGTAAAACACTTACACATATACATATGTCTGTTTTTATCGTAATTCTCTAAATTTTAACCTAACAATAATAATTTTTTTTTTATTAAATTAAATTGTACAATATAATTACTTTGAGTATGTTTGTTTATTAAAATCTCGATATCATTTTACATGCACTTTTTTTTTCTCTATTTTTATTTTCTCTTTGTCCCGTGACATCTTATCATATTAATATTAAAATTTATGTAATCACATGGTACTCTATATCACGTTGATTCCTTATTTGTAATCAACACTTTAATAACGTGACATTATTGTATTCGTTTATGTACAACTAAACAAAAGCGTAAAGCTTAAAATTGTTTCAAGTAAAAAAATTCTTTTATGATTTTTAACTTTTAATATGACCATATTTCTTGTTTTAATAAAGCTTTATTTAAATCATTAAATACTACATACTTTATTAAATATATATTAATTAATCATTAAATATTATTTACGATATTAAATACTTTAAACAACAAATAAATAATTAAAGTAATTAATTTTTGATAAATTTTCGATATTTATGTGAATAATATGTTGAGATTTATAAATATACGAACGCACATAATGCAATCTTTAATTCATGTCACAAGTTATCTACTTTGGGAATATCAATGTACATAGGTACTTGATGTCGTTTTACCATTTTGAAGGTTTTTTTTATGTCATTTGATAATCTTATCACGTGTTCATATTTTTATTCAGAATGCATACATACATACATACATATGTATATAAATATGATAAAAATTTTGCTATCAATTCTAAACAAATTTAATAAATTTAGCTTCACTATATAAAATTTTTTTGCGAAGAAAAATAAAATCGTAGCAATCTTAAAGAAATTCAAATAAAATCGATTTAGCCTCTCATTTTCTTGAAACGAACCTTTTAATACCTGTAATTGTTTCTAATAATTTAAGTGAATATTTTAATAAAATATGAAATTAGCAAATCATTACTCACTTTTTTTTTAAAAATTAATTTATGTATGCATCTCCATATGAGTGTAAATTTAGATAATATCCACAATTTAACAGTCAATATTTCATATTTGGTATCTTGTCGTTAGTACGTCTCTTAAGATTGTTCAACTTTTTGTGGTTTTCGAAATTAAATTTTGTTGTTCTTACGATTATGTACATATGTTATCTTCTTCTATGCTTGTTATCAGATATGGTCAGCCTTAAATTCACTTATTGGGCAATAACTAACAACTAAGAAACTAGTACCTATTTTCTTATAGCACATGCATATTTCGAATTCAAGCTATCAAATAAATAATAATGATAGTTTGAGTTTTAAAAAATTAATAAGAAACTTGTAAATATTTAATTGAAATTTCATTGGCAAAATAAGTAAAGTTGACATTAGATCTGCATTTAAGAACACACCCTACAATCTTTACTCAATTGCATATCTCCTAACCTGAAGTGTTATTTTAAAATATTTTTTGCTGAAGATGCAATTTTTATACTAAATTATATTTATGTATGTATGCACATATGAATCTATAATTTAATAACCATAGTTTAATGTTTTTAATAATTCCAAATACGCAATTTATACATGAATATAAAAGTACATTTGATACGGGTTACATAATATATATAAAAAAATTAAATAAAACATGTACAATTAAATATAACAAAAATGAAATATCTACGATGTATATATATGTACATATGTATACATACAGTGACTGAGATATGTATTCATACATGTGCATAGATATTCCAACAAAATGCAAATTGAAGAAAGAAACCAGATTTGTTGTAGGAACAAAAAAACTGTGCATACATACATACATGTTGAGGTATATGAACATACATACGGATGTGTATATATGTATATGTAAACGGTATAATTTTAAAGTTATTTTATTTATAAAAACCTATGTCAAAAGAAAAATTATTTTTCTATATCTCATAAATATCGTATAAATTAAAACATGTTTTGTAAAATAATGTTAATTATTAATAATTAAGTTTGTAATGTTGAATCTTATAATTATTATAAGTTATTGGAAATATTTTAATCACCCTCTTACGTGAAAAGAACTGATACATGTACATAAATATTTTGTTGTTCTTACACATATTTGTTTGTTGTTTGAAATTTTACTTTTATGTCATTAAATTTTGTTTCAATAGAGCCAGTTAGGTAATATTTAGAGGTTATGACTCTTATCTACAAGATTTCATCTTCCAATTGCATACATTGAAAGCTATACAACTTTATTTTAAATTTCTAGTAGGTAGGTATTTGTAAATTTCGACTTTTGTCATTGTCAAACTTCACCTAAATCGTACAAGTATTTTGATTGAGTTATTTTAAAATCTGACCATTGGTGCAGTGGTTATGGCACCGGTCCTTTAACCGAAGGGTCTCGGGTTCAAACCCCGGTCAGGTCACTATAAAAAAAATTATATTCAATATTATTATAACTTAATATACAATACTAATAAAAATATACAAGTAATTTTCAAATATTCCTAGCCCTATGCTCCTTCTAGGAGTGAACAAAGGAAAACATTTTAAAATTACTGTCAAAACTTATTATTTTAAGTTAATAAAGTTATTTTAAATTCGTTCGTTTAGCTTTGCCTATATGAAAAAAAAGTGTAGTAAACATTTGATAAAATTTCGTTGTTTAACTTCTAACGCAATATTCTTTCTTATTTTAAGGGGAATTATTTGAACTAAAATATAATTTTTATCTCGTGAAGAAACTTTATAAAAATTATTAAAGTTTATAATGTTATAATTTCAGTTTAATTTAATCAAAGACAGGATCAAATAATAATTTTATTATTTTTGATGTTTTAATTGTTCAAATAAGCTAAATTAAATTTTCGCTAAACAATGTCTGTGTATATCTGTTTTATAACTAGAATTTAAATTTTGTAAACACTTCATATCTTAGTTCAGGTCTTATCATGTTTACTTATACGGCAAAGTCTACGATTTAATCTGAGTCTGATGAAAGTCGTATACATACATATGTAAATCCTGTTTAACATTAAACTTTGTCTACCGGTAAATAATAGAAATAGCTCCGTTCTCATCCGACTTAATGTTAGATTTTTAAAAAGTATAATGGCAACAATTATTATGTCAAAGTATTGAGCAGCGGTAGGCCGATTTTTATTTTGATTGTCTGTACTGCAGCAAACTGTTAAATTTTGACTAAAAGTCGGGAGATAATTTCAGTCTGATTTGTAAACAAGCATCAGACTTTACCGTAGATTTAATATTAGATTTTCTCGTGTATATGCAAATAGTACCTTAAAGTTGACCATATAAGTTAATTTTGCATTTCCTAAAATTTTTGATTTTCTTTTAATTATTCTAAAATAGTTATTGCTCAATTCCTATTCCAAATACCATATTTGTTATTTTAATTTTATTTTTAATTTCTGTTTCTCCTATTTATATCTCTTTATGTTTTTTTTTATTCTTTGTTTTTCCTATTTTCATTAGCTAATTATTATTCAATTTGAGTAAATCATTATGCTAAATTCGAGCACATTTTTGTTTTTTGTGTTTTTTTTTGTTTTTTTTTTATTTTTTTAGCTATTTTAAATATACACACGCTTATATAAAGATTTCAAATTTTTTAATGTATGTACCTTCATAATATGTATGTATATAGTCTGTCAGACCAGCTGAGCTGATGTAAACAATTGGATTATAAAAATATAGAGAATTCATTTACAAAAAAAAAAACAAAACAAATAAATTTAAAATTGAAGAAGAAGAAAGAGAAAATCAAAAAAAAAAAATAAAAGTATGTCGTAGTTATCAGATTTATTTTTTTTTTTTTGTGTTTTGTTTTCCTCTATTTTAATTTTTTGTTTCTCTTTTACAATTTTATTTATGGAATTTAAATTTAAAAGTGCAATGGCAATTGTTTCCTCAAGAAAAATTATCAAAAAAAAATATACATACATACATATATAGGTATATTTTCAATTTTATTTGCTTTTTTTTAAAATATATGTATGTATTTGTGCACATGTCTAAATATTATTTTTGTCCATATAAAAATTCTGCTAGATTAGTCATAAGACATAAATTGTATGCACATACATATGTACATTACATTTCGAATTATTTTCTTATCAAAATATTATAATTAAAACCAGGGGTCTTCAATCGTGAACATATTCAGGAACCCTTCACATTAATGATTTTCTTTCAATAAACGACAAAATATCTTTGTTTTCCAATTACATACATACATAACGTATGTATATAGCTAGAATAGCAATTCTGTCAAGATTTGGCAAATAATTATTTGTTCTCTAGTTGAACCAAATGATATGTGAGGTAGTGGATCAAATTATAACTCGATTCTTGCAAATTTCTAAAGCAAATATTGGCCTCTTTCAAAGAGCCAAATAGTTCCGCAGAAAACATGTTGAACACCAATAGTTGAAGCTAAGTAGGTACATACAATAAAATTGCTGATAAGAAATATACTAATTAAATAAAATATGTACATGTAAGCGTGTATGTATATATGTATGTATTTGTATTACTTTCGAAATTAGATAATTCTATTGGTACATATTTTTTTGTCTTCTATATGTTTCCTGTCTGCTATATTAAAGTTCAATGATCAATATCGAAATATAGCAACATGACAAAAGTACCGACATAATTCAAAATACTAATTTAATTTAAATAAAACTTTAATATGAATTTTGGTTTTATTAAATTTGTACGTAGGTTTTATGTACATTTTTGTATGTAAAATTACACATACATAAGAAGATAATTCGAAGAAATATTTAAATTTGAATTTACTTAATTAAAATTTATATACTTATATGTATGTATATAAAAATATTGATAATTTTTCTTATACAAATTAAGATTAATTGCATATTCATTTAAAAATATTCATACTTTTTAATATGTATTCACTTTTAATTTTTAATTTATTTGGCTTTTATTTTAGGAGATTTGACTCTTTTTCGTAACAAAATCTATTATTGTTCTTTCGAAACTCATTAAAAATATTAATAATATAATATTATTATTACAAAATAACTCATATACAAGTGTACATATACACATGTATATGTGGGTATATACAAAAGTCACAGATAATAAAAGTGAGCTAAATAGATATTTTCATTGTAAAAATGAACATGAGTCCCTAATTATTAAACTTAATATTAATAAGTAAATACATAATTAATATCAATAAGTAATATAAATAAAATAGCTGATCAAATATCTCGCTATTTAACTCGGAAAGTGAGAAGAAAGTGTGTAACTATCATAATATAGTCTAATGTAATTTTCGAGTGAGAAGAATTATTTGGTATTGCGTATCTCATTTTTTTCTAAAATGCATACAAAATTTATTTACTTTGTTTTTGAAAGTGAGAAGTTCATTCACGAATTTTTTCAATGCCGTGCATATTTTTCTAAAAGTAGGAAATTTAAATATATAATTCAACAGTTAAATATTTATAATTTTAATCCTGCAAAAGATATTTTTACTTTTGAAAAATTTCATTGCAAAATCGCATAAGTTTGAACCAAAAGTTCAACTGTTCTAATCATTTTCAACCTTTAGGGTTCTTACAATGAAAATTTTCAGTATTTATTAATAATTATTGTTATTAAGTATAATTAGACTCAATATAGACTTAAATAAATTCCTGTTCATTGAATATCAGATTAATTGAAAGATTTTTTAATATTTTGTATAATTAGTTGTTCATGCCAATATGGAAAAGTTTATGAACCATTTTGTCTATAATTATTATTATTGCTAATACACGACTTTTATATTTTAATGTTGAATTTTATTATTTACTATTCTAGTTTTTATTTAATAATATTGTTTAAAACATTATGTAAATAAATTCAAACTTATTTCATTTTAAAAAATTTTTTTCAAATATTTTTGTTTTTTGAGTTTATTTACTCTAGGCTTTATTTCATACAAACTAAACAAAGAAGAAGAAAAAACAACAACAACAATAATAACACTAAATAGAATTATTTAACCTTGAATTTTTTTTATTTTATTTTTTGTTCTGTTAAATGAAATTTTGAAATTTTGGGCACTTCACCCAAATTAAAACAAGAGAAAAAAAAAAAACAAAAAACATTATTAATGAAATTTATTTTCATCTTCATTTAAAAGCCAATAGTTTAATAAATGAAAACAACAACAAAACAAAAAAGATTTGAAACAAATTAAAATAAAAATCAAATAAAATAATTAAAATAAATGAAATATTTACATAATACATATTTTATATTGTATGTATGTATGTAGAAATGTAAATACATAGCACGTCTAATATAAACTGCTAACTTAAGTACCTAATTACAAAATATAAAATACTTGCATCATATACTTATGTACGTATTGGGTCTTACACAATTTAAACTTTAAGCGAATTCGTCAGAGAGTTTCAAATATTCAGCAAGAATTCTAAAAGAAAAAGGGTATAAATATTACCTTAATGTCTAAATTATAAGTTATTATTAAAAAATATTGTTTGGTCTACTATTTAGTGATATGAAGGTATTCGAATTCATACTGAAATTCGAGAAATATGAGAAATTAACATGAATACAAGTTCTAAAGTCTTATTAGTGCAGGGTTAATAACAGCTCATTGACTAATCGCATTAGCCGATCTATTTCCAAAAAACCCCTTTTATTTATCTGTTAAGGTTATGAATATCGTTTGAACATACTGAACAAAATTATTTTTGTGACATTTTTTTTCTTTTTTCCTGTTTTTTCCAAATTTTTAAACGAAATTTTTACATAAATTTTTTTGGGGTTATTAAATAAAGTTTTTAATATCCGGCGCTATAAATTAATTTAAATATTTCAGAAGAGAGAGAAAAAAAAACTGTGCAGAATTTGGAAAATTTAGAAAATTAGAGAAATTCAAATTTCTGTACAGAATGTTTATATGCAGACGCGAGACTTAATACGAACATATGAGGAACCAAATATTTCATATTTTGTAAAAGGAAAAACTTTATGTGGCATAAATGTTGACTTAAATTCATTGTTGCTAGAAGGAGTTTTAGGATAAAAAAACTATTAAAACTATGTTTGATTATTGATTATGTATGGAGTCTTCGAATAAATACCGCGAATCTTCTAGTTGTTAATTAGTTAATTTTAAAATTCGTTTAACTAATAATTATGTATTAATCTCCAATAATTTCCAAAATGTGTAATTGCTGAAAAATTTTGAAAAATTTACATATTTAATTTTTTTTTCACTACAATATTGAAAAATAAAAAATACCTTCGTTGCATACTTAATGAATTTAATAATATTGTTCTCTTAAATAAGTAAAAAATTCTATTTAAAGCGTAAAAAATAATTGTACATTTTTTTTTTTATTAATATTTAATTTAGTTATAAATTTATATAAGTATATGTATAAAAAATGTTTATATTATATATTATTTCTAATCGATATTTTTTTTTCTTTTTTAAAGCATGTTGACATTGAAAATTCATTTTTATGTGGCTACCTTAAAATAAATGGTTTAACATATGAATTTCCGACATTAACAACATTTTTTGATGGAGAAATTATTTCAAAAAAATATCCATTTTTAACACGAAAATGGGAAGCTGACGAATCCGTTGATGCTGGACATTGGGTAATTTATTAAATAAAATTTTTTATATTGAATAATATTTTTATCGAAAATTAATATTTTTGTTTGTTTGTATTTTATTTTAGGGAAAATTCGAAGCTTTTGAAGAAAATTATTTGCACACATTTAATTCTGATAATTTTGATTATGATAGTTTAGCAAAAAGTGATTATGTTTTTATGAGATGGAAAGAACACTTTTTGGTAAGTTGAATTTGAAATTCATTTTATAGCATACACTTAAAAATTTCCAGAAAAAAGTCCCGTCAGTTTTTTTTATGCTTCTAACGTATATAAAATGTTCAATTGAATGATGATATATAAATTAAAATCAAATATGAATTTTTGGACTGTATTTCAGATTTATTTAATTTATTATCCGATTATTTTAATAAACATGCTATAGTGTTTTTAGTTTTCTTAGAAACTATGTATTTATTATTGTAATTAAAATGTTTATGAGAGTAATTAAATTATTCAATTGAACTATTTTATTAATTTCCGTTCTAGAACACAATTTTTGCCAACAAATCTTGCGTTATGCTAGTTTTTGTTTGACAAAAAAATGTCTTCTGTTTTATGCAAATTCCTTTCTTGCCCTTTTAAAAATTAAACCTTTACATATTTCAAAAAAAATAAACGACCTCATTTTCAATGACTAAAACATTAAAAAATCAAAATTTTATTACAAATTATTTAGTTTTTAATATATTAAATAATTTTTAGAATTAAAAATTTTATTTTTTTTCATCGTTATTAGACAAAAAATATGAGTTAATTTTGAAATATTTCCTCTTAATCAAATAGTTTTATTCTTCTTTTAATTACACTAATTAATTCAATTTGAAATAAGTAGTAGTCGTACTTAAACATTTAGCATATAAGTATGCAATTAAAAATTTAATTTGATATTAATTATAAGCGGAATATTCCTCCTTGTGGAGTTATAAAACGTTTTAAGAAACACTAAATATTTCAAGATAATCAAAATATATTTTTCTGTACGTATGAATATAATTTCAATTTTAGACGCATAAAATCTTTATAGAAGCATTATTTGAAATGATGTTACATTTTCGGATTGAAATTTATATTCAAATTTGATATTTGATGGTGAAAACCTTAGTCAAATCACCTCAATTACTCCATTTAAGAATATATTTAAGACTAAATGTTGGTATTAAAAAATATGTACATATTCATATTTGAATATTAAAACTGCATTCAATTAATATAAATAAAGCAAAATTTAAAAAATTATTATAATATCTAATTATAAAAATATTTTTCATGTTTTAGGTACCAGATCATACAATTAAAGATATAAATGGAGCATCATTTGCTGGATTTTATTATATATGTTTTACAAAATCAAAAGGAAAAATGGAAGGTTATTATTATCATAAATCATCTGAATTATATCAATCAATTGAATTAAATCATGTACCAGAAAGTTGTATTGAAGTTTATGAATTTAGATAAATTAATCAAATATTATTTTTTAAAAAAAAATTAAGAATTTTTATTTTTTATTATATTATTAATTATATACAAAATAAATTATACAAAATTTACTATGTTTAAATATAATTCCAAAAAAAAAAAAAAAAACTAAACAAAAAAACTGTATGTATATTGAAATTTATTGAAATTTTTAATTTATATATCATTTTTTTTAATGTATCGTATATTAAAGTCAATAATAACATAATGTACGTTACAAAAATGATCAATAAAATTATTTCTTTTAATATTTCTTTTATGTATTTACACATATTTCATAATATGCATTATAAATTATTGGAATTATATTGATGATTATAAAATGAAACAAAATTAATTAACATCTACATTAAAAATTGATATATTTAAAACAAAAACAAAATTTTTTGAATGAAATTGAACATAATTTGATTATTTTACATAATAAAAATAATAATGTATAAAATATATAATATATTAATTATAAATATATGATAATTATTTTTCTATATAAGAAAAAGCAAAATTAAAAAAAAAAAAAAACAAAAAAATCTTAAAAAAAGAAGAAGAAAAAAAAAGAATAAAATTTCAATTAATTTGTAAAAACAAAAAAAAAAGCAAAATATTTGTTTCAAATTTAATTTTTTCTTTCCCTTATACAATATTTATTTTAAGAATTTGTAGTTATATATACCTATATAAAAAAAAAACTCTTAAATTTCTTTGCATACAAAATACTTATATAAGTTGTAAAAAAAATATTATATAAATTTTGCATTATATATTACATATAAAAAAAAAAAACAAAATAATGTAACAATAATAAAATATTTTAAATACATAATTATATTTTAAAATATCTGTCCGTGTACATTTTATTAAATTCACAAAAAAAAAAAAGAAAAAGTGGAATACATTAGAAAATTTACAGTGTATTTCTAAAGTCTGATTCCCACAGTTTGAAAAATACTAAATATGTAATTAAAAACAAATAATAATAAAGTAAATTCAAATTTTATTAATAGAATTTTTATCCTTTTAATTAGCAAAGCATAATAATGCTAAAAATTAAAGTGTAGAAAATCCTTATCATATTATATAAAATTTCTTCCTTAAACAAAAGTTTATGAATGGAATAATTCTTCTTTTTTAATTTCCAACTCTTTTCAAATAATATAGAAAACAATTTCATATCGTATAATGGGAGTCAAATTTCCAATTTATTAAAATCGTTTAATATTTGATAATAAATATTGTAACCATAAAATATTTTATCATTCTAATTTTAAAATTATGATTAAAATTTTAATTATAGTCTTTCATGTATTTTTTACATTTTATTTATATTTTTTATAAATTATTCGATTTTGTTGAAAAATGTTTGAAAGAGTCAAAAATAATACCAAGAACTGCGAAAAAATTAATGGAAATACAAGAAATCTTGTAAAAGATCTATTTAATTATGGACTCCTAATATTTGAAATGAAATATTTAAGCTTTAGAATTATAAATTTTAAGTTAATGATAAAATTCGAATCATTGATTCAATTTATTGAATAATTATAATTTAATATGTAATATTACATAAATATATAAAAAATTGAATAATTGAATTAATAAAGTAATATTAAGCTTTACACGATTTTTAGGACACTTTGAAAAATCATTTCTTAGAATATTTTTTAAAATATCTGAGAAAACCAATACAAAATTTTCATTTTTTTTTTTTAGGATTTATTTCAGGCTTGTTTATTTACATTTATACCAAGTTTAAATCTACCTTTAAAGTTTTTAAAAGTTTTTATGGCAAAGCAGTATTTTTATGAAGTGAAGAACTGAAAAAAAAAAATTTATTAAACAATTTATTTCCAAAATAAGCAATAAGATTAAAAAAATCTACTAATTTTCCAATTTTCCTTTATTAATTTTCATTTTAAGATTTACTTAAATGCCAAAATTAATTAAATATTTATGTACACAGACAGTTTTCTTCTTTAAAATTTAAATATTTTTTAAGTATTGCAGGCAATTTAATGTATTATTATGTAAGCTACTACAGTATCTATCAATTTTGTTTTAATTAATTATTCTTATTATAGAATTTATGCTATATTATCGTTAAAAAAATTAAAAAAAAAAAAAAGAAAATTTTCATGTCTCTCTAGAAAAAAAAAATACTTAAAAAAATTTTGGTAAGAAATACAATAATTATTACATTTCCTTTAAAAAAAAAATAATTAAATTTTGTGACAAATACAATAATTTATTTTATTTATGTTATAAAGTATTTGTTTTTTATTTTAACACAAAAAAAAAAACAACATTTTAATTGGAAAATACATAACAGATAGCAGGCACTTTTATGTTTTCGAAATTGGTAATTGATTATTTGTATTAGACTTTTAGAGCATTAAAAATGGGTAAAAAACATTGTTTCGAACTGGGTTTCAACAGTTTTCAAATTCTGGAAATTTTAACAAGATTTCATAGTATTTCACTTTGCCCACGTTTTTTGCTTATAACTCCCATTTCAAGGCAGAAAGGACTAATAAAGTGTTTGAAAGTATTATGACATCATATTTTGTAATTTCTGTACTTCCGGAAAGACAAACATTCTAATTTTAGAGATTTTTTTTTTGTTTTTTCATACTTGAATCTTGATTATTTTAAAAGAAATTTTTCGGAACTTTAAAATTTTATTCATTCGGCGTAACTGGTCGCACAGAATTTTTATTCGGGATTATCAATAGCTGCTTCACTTGAAATTTAAACGGATTTTCCTTAAATTTAAACTGAGTCATAAAGAATTCACTAATTATAGTACCTATCATAAAAATGTATATTCTTCAAAAATATAATTCACTTCGCCTATTATGATGAGATCGCCAAGAACCGTTTTGATTAAAAAGTAATTAATTTTGAGATTTTTAATGAAGCATTATAGTAGAATACAATTATGAGACCCCCAAAAAACTTTTAAATTTTGTAGTTATTTTATGTATTTCCTTAAAAAATATGGGTAACATGCATTATATCCATTATCTATGAACTACCATTATTATAATATAATATTACATAATTATTACCAATTTCGAAATTGCACGCTTTAACAATATTATTATTAATGTTTTGGATTCCCTCTGCCCTAAAAATAAATAGATAGATTAGATAGAATATTTTTTATTCTTTATTTTTATGTTACGAAGTGTGCAAAAATTTTCAAATATTTAAACGATAAAAATAGCTTTTTCAAAAAAAAAAAAATAAAATAATTTTTTCATATTAATTGTATAATAGATTTTGAATACAAATTATTAAAAATAATATATAAAATAATAATAAAAAAATATTAAATATTTTGAGTTTCAAATAAAAAAAATTAATTATATTTTTTAATTTCAAAAATTTTTTTGTCTTAAATTTAAGTGATATTTAAATGACATTAAGAAAATATACATATATATGCACATACATATGTATATGTCTGAATATTTTATATTATATGCATATTATTATTATGTTATATGCATAAAATACACATTTTGAAGGAAATTGTAAAAAAAAAAAAATAATAATGTAATAAATAACATTAGTGATAAAAAATAATGTTGTGTGAAAATTTTGTTTTAAACAATAAAAAAAAAAAAAACGTATCTAAAAAATTTATTTGTTTTTTCTATTTTTCCATAACAAAAATTTATTTCAGGAGCCGTCCTTAATCATATTGGTTTTTATATTTAAGAAAGAACAATATAAGGACAATGTATGTGAGAAACACAAAACTGTTTCCTTTTTTAAGAAATTTGAAAATCCCAGCACATTTGAGAAGAAATTTGCACACTTTTGAAAATTCACTTTGCGTTTGCATTTCAAGTTTAAAATTTAATTAACTTAAACTGCCCGAAAAATCACTGCAAAAATTTCAATGCTAGTACTTGTAGTAAAATAAGTTTTTGGAATTGTTGAAGTACAGTCACAGTCATACGTTTTTATTAAATTTTCTAGAGCACTTAAAATATGTATTAAAAAACTAAAATTTTAAAAGCGGAAATACAAAACTTACTCTAATAATTCTTCCAGATGTTCCGAAATTCTATTCTTTTTTTTTTTTTGTAATAATAAAATGAAAACTGTGTATTTGCGATTTTAGTTCGTAATTCTTGTTAAAAAAAATATTGTCAGAACTGTGCTACATTTTCAAAAATACACTTTCAACACTTCGTGTACTACTTAAACATCAAATTTACTGCAAATTAAGAAAAGCGATACTTTTCTATTAGTGCTAATCTTAATTTGTAGTAAATTTGATGTTTAGTTTCTAGATACTATTAGTGCATAACTAAAAGTATTAGGATAAAAATGTTTTATTATAGAATTAGCAATTACTAAAAGAATGGAATACTAATTACATATATTGTAAAAAGAAATTATTCACTATATAACTACTACTTGTTAAATTTAGTGACTTCCACGTTATAAAAACTGCTTTAGCTAAATATCATCTTAAATATTGTTTGTGCAGAATTTTTGACGTAACATTTAGTTCTATTATATTGTCTAAAAACCGTTTTGAAGTATAAAGTTGGTAAATTTTAAAACATGTTGTTGAACGTTAAAATAAAAGATTTGACAAATCAAATTTCAATTTTGTTCCATAATGTATGTAAATTCAATATGGACTCCGCAAACTTAAAAGAAGCTGTTTAAAGACGATTCAAAATCTGATTTTTTTGCAATCTGAAATGAATAAAAAAGGAGTTTTAATCTTTTGTAAATAATCATTAAAAAGAATAACATTTACTTTCACAATTAACTGAATGAATGAGTTGTCAGTTGTGAATACTGCTGTTTATTAAAAGTTTTTGATACATGTAAGAAAAGCATTGTTAATATGTGGATGTATCACATATTTTTGTTTTGAATGAAGAAGCCAAATCATCTTTTCACCATTTCAAAATTTCAATAAATAATGACAACTTTCTTTGACGTTTCACTTGAATGGATACATTAAAAAACAAGTGTTTGGATAAAATCAATCACGAACGGGGACAATGTAAAATTAATTTTCTTTTAATTTTTTTAATATTATACATAATATTATCTATATTAATGCAATA